TTATTATTATTATTATAATAATAACTAACCTAGCATTCTCATCGTCTCTGATTCATTGAGAAATAGGTTGAAGGAGCAATCGGCAACTCGCCAGAAACATGACAGATATAAGAATAACAATAATAAGTGACGAGTATTATTATTATTATTGTTATTGTTGTTATTATTATAACCGTTATTGTTGTCGTTGTATTTGTTGTTGATGTATTTTTTGCGATTTTTTAAACAAACTACGAGTTTGTTGCTGACATTGTAATCGAAATTTTTGCAGTTGTTAATGAGGTTGTTGTTATTGTTGTTGTTGATGATGTCATGAACGTTTTTGTTGTTAAAGTTGCTGCTGTTGTTGTTTTGTTGATGCTGGCAAACATCGTTATTTTCGCCATTTTGGTTTGTACCGATACATCTTACGTAATGCCAATTGTTGTTGTTGTTTGCTGTGATAGCGATGTTGATGAGGTTGTTGTTGTTGTTGCTGTTGTTGTTGACGTGTTTTAAGCTATTGATGACGTTGTTGATGCTATTAAGTTTTTTCTCCTTGACCATTTTTTATTTTCCTTTTCTATTAAAATCTTCATAAAAGCGAGCAAAAGAATGAATGAAAAAAAAAGAAAATGAATGAATAAATGTATGACTAATTGAAGGAATGAATGAATAAACGAATGATTGAACGAACGATTGAACGAACGAACGAACAAACAAACGAACGAGCGAACGAATGAATGAACAAAAGTTTCTTTCGTTACGTTTTGTTATCTAACATGTTTTACATATTTTAAGAAACAACTGTTGCTGTTGTTGGTGTAGATGTGATAATATTACTAAACTAAAATTAACAACAACAACAATAACGTGTATAACAATAATAATTATTACAACAACAACAACAATAATTACATGTATAACAATAACGTATCATTGATCGATGTTGTTTTTAGCTTACAATCTTGTAATCCGTATTTCGATACATACATTCATATACAACACATACATACATTCACATACAAAACATACATACATTCATATACAATACATTCATACATTCACATACAAAACATACATACAATACAATACATACATACATACGTACGTACATAAAGACACAACCAAACTAACCAACAAGACAATAAAAACAACAAGACAATAACCACATCTCAGCAAGTTGTACACACATAATTCTGTTCTACATCTATGACCTTTCTTATATATGGCCGTACACCTATATATGTATATTATATATGTATATACATTTGCCCTATATAAGCACAATGCTCTTCTTCATCATGAGCTCTATATATTACATATATGCAAAGTTTTTATATAACTTTCAAATGGTCATTGAGTGATGTTGGCTAGTCGGCAAGGTTTAATGGTTCACTGGTTGGTTGATTGATTATTTGGTTGACTGGTCGTTGATCAGTTGTTTGGTTAGGTTAATTGATTGATTGATTAGTTGATTGTAAAGCCAAATTACATCGGCAAACCATGGACATGATCGTATCTAAACTATGAACATATATGGTTTGTAAAAATTGTATTTATATAAATTATGGTTGAATTTTAAACCCGCGTTTGTAATTTTTATTGTAATAATTTTATAAATATCAGTAATTTCTTACCACATAACCCATACAATTCATTTACTTGACGCTTAATATACGCAATCATATTTATGCAGAAACTGTAGTAAGGTTGAGATTACAAGAAAAGCATTTTTAAAATTAATATTTTTATTTGTTAAAAGTAATTTAATTTGTAATTTGGTCTTTTTTTTATTGAATTTTAGAAGAATTTATGAAATCGTCATATAATTATATACAAAGTTTACTTTTAAACATTTCAGAGACATTAAAAAAATTATTGCACCAACTTGCACCTCGTTTGTTGTTCTCATATTGTTGCGTAATATTTCAGCAACTATTCATTTTCACTAGTTTCGCATTTAAGTTTGTCGTTTTGTTGAGCAATTTCTGATCGAGTGGTGCTGAAAATCGAGATTTCCTAATAAATTTTCACCGTCTTATAACGGAGTTTCAATGTTATAACGAAAGTACTTGTTAATTTTTTTATCATATTAAAAATATATGAAAATGAAATCAATACTGTTTTAGATTTTTTAGTTTTTATGTGTTAATTTGTAGAGACTGCATCCAATTTAAAAAAAAAATATATATAAATATTAAAATGTTAATGTAATTGATGTTTTTTGAGTAATTTTGTTATAATAACTAACTGTCAAAATGAAATCCATACTCTTTCCTAACAACAACAAGCTGAACAACACTTGTTTCCTGGTTGATGAAGATGGTGGGTCTTCCATTAGCTCATAATTTTTTTCATAATTTTAAAGATAATTGTTTTGTATATTATGGTTTTATACTTGCTTTTTAAAATATTTCAGCTTTCTTGTCAGCTGTTTTATTAATAAATTGATGAATATTTATCAGACAGTACCTCACAGAATTTGATGGATTATAACATGTATCAATGTAACTAATATATAGTTCAGAACATGGACAGATAGATAATAAAATCTATTATTTTTATTTTATTATCTTTTTGATTATATGTGTTATTTGTCTTTAATTTAATTAAAAAATTGTGATCAACTTAATTTTGAATCATTGATTTTTGTTATAATGCATTGTTGGTAGTCTCTAATTTCATATTTAACCCTCAGTCAGTATGTATAACTATATATAGAATTAACTTTTCACTAAGTTAATACCCTTTTCACTTTTAATTATTCAGATTTCGGAATGGTAGGTGACGTGTATGAGACAACGTCAACGAGTAGTGGTAGTGATGTAACCGATGAAGATGATGTCATCACGTCATCAGCCGATCATGTTGATAAGTACTCGAGTAAGGAGAATGATGAGCACAAAGTCCTGTGGCCTAATAAGTTTGTTCTTTTTAGTTTCTTTGATATCTCTAATTTGCATATCAGTTTTTAGTTTATTAAAATAAAATCGCCATACTTGACAAATTGTAACGCAATATATATACTAATGATAAAAAATCCCCAGTCGTACGAAACGATTGGATGACTATCGTCGTCGTCGTCAACGAAACAACATGGCTGTGAAGAAGAGTCGCGACAAAGCCAAACAACGTCAGAAGGAATGTGCCCGCCATCTTGAATTTCTTACGGCCGAGAACAAGCGCCTGCACATGAAGGCCGAGGTGCTTATGAAGGAGTTGAACCTCCTAAAAGGACTTTTCCCAGTCGTTGGGTTGACTCCTCCTCCCGAGAGCGATGAGCTCTTATTGGGCTGAAGCACGTGCTCATTCATATTCATGAACTCTAATACCACTCTTGATTGGTGGATTGACTCGATGCACGAGTTCCAAGTTATTTTTATCTGTTTTCCTCTGTGAATCTTATCTGATTTATATTTGTGCAGTTTAAATTAAAAAATATTTTAATCCTCTCACTGTTTTCATTCAAATTTGACAAAATTAAGACCAAAGAAGCCAGAATCAAGAAATTTGATTTTTATTTAAAGAATTGTTCAATTTTTAATACCAAAAAAAATAATTTCGTTCAAAAAATAATTTTCAGACGCAATTGAATAAAAATGGATGCAATTGTAATAAGTAAAGCGAAAATAAACCCAAGAATTAAGACAATCATCCACTAGTAAATCAAGAAAGAAAGAAAAACAAAGCTAATTATGCCTGAATAGTCTCTAACCAATGTTACCATCGTTACTAATATCATCAGTTGGTTATTTCAGTGTTTTAAAACTTGAAACTCTGAAATAGCCAGAGGGAGTGCGGTGTAGTTGTTAAAAAGGCAAAAGCATACGCGTGTTGTGCCTGCTACGAATATCTATCTGCGTGCAAGTGCCTTCATAACCAAGATACGAAATGTAGGTACGTTAAACATTAAACTACTTTAAAACAGTTCTTCAATCCAAATATAAATCAATCGTCGAATGAATGAGTAAGTGAACAACAGAATGAACGATTAATCGAATGAATTGATGAATGAATGAACAACGAAATAAATGAATAATTGGATGAATTAATGAATGAGTGAATGAACGTACGTAACAAAATCGTCAACAAAAAGAAATCTGAATGAATACTGATTCGAAATTATGTTAAAATCAAAGTTTATATCATTTACAAATGTAACGAGTTGAAAAGAAAGTTAAACGAACAAATATTAATTATACATAATTACAAATCATATCAGCAATAATAACGAATAATAAAAGAAAAAAAAAGCAAGAAACTAAACAAAAAATATCCTTAGTTGATGTCATATAATACTGAAGAAACGGATTATTAACGTATGAGGGGAAGTTTCACATGTAACTTAATATAACATAGTATAATAACATCATTTTAATTATGGCTCTCTCCCTCTCTCTCTCTCACACACACACACGCACACACACACATATATATTGAAATATATATATCAAGATTTTGATATATATATTTATATATACATTAATATAAAGAGGTGATGACACTGATCAGTTATTTGACAACATCATTAACGATAATGCAATCCATTGATAACAATAGCAGTTTCGTAAAAAAACAAAATTAAAATGGATACACACACACACGTACGCGTACCCACACATACGAACACACACTAACACAAACGTACATGTTTCAAATTTTTATGGAATATATGCGGTAGAATTAAGATTTAATTCATGTCAACAAACACGGATATATAGATAGATAGACAGACAGATGGATAGATAGATAGATAGATAGATAGATAGATAGATAGATAGATAGATAGATAGATAGATAGATAGATAGATAGATAGATAGATAGATAGATAGACAAACTAACTGATAAATGCTGATCGGATAGAGAAACAGTCGTTATAATTTGTACACAACCTATTATAAACCAAACAAACACACGAATACGTTACGAGATGCATACATACATGCATACGCACATACTAATGCTAGCATATAAAATGACGTCATAATCCATCCTCATCATCGTCATCGCCATGAAATCACACACAATCTTTCTTCTTTATGATTCCGTTCTTTGCATCATTATGGCTTCCATGCCCAAGAGAGCTAAGAACATTCACAAGCGCGCCACCATTATTAATATTACCACCAGCAAAACCATCGTCGTCATCATTGTCACTGATTACGTCATCATCGTCATCGTATCCATGTTCTTCCTCTTCCTCATTGAAATAGGATGACGGAGGTGGAGGTGGATAATTGGAGCGACCGGTGAATGGTGATGGTGGACAGCTGACATCCGGACTGAACAAGGAGTTCCTTGACTGAATGTAATCACTCAGAGGGGTCGGCGGGGGCGCTAAATTTGGTTGGAATTCATCGAAATGCGTCATTACCATCAGTTCATCCGCAGTTGAACTGCAGGGCGTAGGCACGTAACGACGGTGTCGCTTGTGACGCAACTTTTTACGCTTTCCCGGATTTTTACCCCACGGATTAGTCGCGCTCGAATCGAAATGAGGATTGGGGTATAAATTTTCAGGGAGGACTCTACCGGAATTTTGATGTCGTCTGGCGTGATGAAGTTGCGGACGAGGGACGGCTGGTTCTTCGACATCGGCAATGGTGCTTCTGTCAGTAATGGGACTAGGTGGTGGATCGAAGGCCGGTCTGGCGGTCATGACAGATCCGGTGGTTGATGAGGCGCCTGTTATGTGTCCCCTGTCGTAATAAAGTGAATCCGGGTGCACACCGCTGCAAATCTCAGTCACGTCGTCGCCGTAAAACACGCCAGCAATGGATGACGTCATCGTGTCCTTATTACGCCTCGAATACGTTGGCTGCTGGTGTTTTAATCTTTTGTTCGGTAGGTGGTGTCCATTGCCTAACTTTCTATGCGGGAAGTCGTCCCCAACATCATCATCGTTCCTAACTTCACAGTCGTCACTGTTGACCTCTGCAAACACCTGACTGCCATCAACGCTGATGTCGGTAGATTTCAAAAGCAGACTGTTGCTGTCGGGCGCAGAGAAAGATGCGGTCGATGGTGGTGCGTTCGGACGGGCTACCATCACCACATCATCTGGATAGGCCGTCGCCAGTTTCCTTGATTTCTGCCGGCATATAAAGAAGAGCAAAAGTATCAAAGTGAGGCCCACAACAAAGGCTGCAACGACTCCTATTCCAATAGCGTAACCATTAGCGAGGAGAAAACTGCTGTTGCCGTCGTTCGGGCAGTTGGATTCGTCCAATCCATCGACACAATCGTACTTGCCATCGCAGAGGAACTCCCTACTTATGCATGCATCTCCACCCGGACACCAAACATTCTCCGGTTCGGTACAAAACTCAGGATGGACATTGGAAGCATGGGTGGACTGTCTTCTCGGAGTCTTGGGGCAGTCGGCCTCATCCGAGTGGTCATCGCAATCTGCATGATCGTCGCACACGTATTCACGAGGGATGCAAAAGAGGTGGGTTCGACATTGAAACTGGTTCATCTTGCATGGCGTGGATGCAGTGCACGTACTCGCGTCATCGCCCAGTTGCATGCCAAATGGACAGGAGCACCTCCATTTGGCCTCATCCACATCTTCACTATCCATGGACAGCGTATTCTCGTATTCGACGAGGCAGATGTCTGTGCAAGTTTCTGTTGGACAGAATCCATATTTGTTGTAGACATCATCGCCGTGCTGGTAACTCACTTTGTCTGAAGCGTCGAGTTGCTGTGTGGCTTTAAATATCGGCATGATGTTTGATTTGTACTTGGAAAAAAGGAGAGATGTGATTGGACTGCCTGACTTCTTGTAGACGACCTCTCTACCGGCACCGTTTGCAGAACTCACCTTCTCAATACTGCCAGATTTCGTCGCCCACAGTAGCAGGTCGTTGGCGATCGCGAGTCCTGTGGCCTGCTCCCTGCCGGTGTCGTGCACGATGACGCGACGATCGCCGCCGTCCAAGTTCGACGACTCGATTCTTTTCAGTTCGACGTCGATCCAGTATACCCGACCACTTTTGTAGGACGTGGGAGCTGTGCAGTGCATGGAGTGAATTGTTTGAAGTGTAGTGGAGTAGCTTGAAATCAGTGAAAGGTGTGTGTGTCTCTCTCTCTCTCTCTCTGTGTGTGTGTCTGGTGTGAAGTTAATCAAAAATGCAAAAACTCACTGCTATAATCGTCAACTTCAATAGGCCCGAGCTGTCCAAGTCCAGTATTCAAGATGGTCATCTTCAAGGAGCCGTCCAAACTCGATCTCTCCAATCGTTTACCCTTGTTCGTCCAGAACAAATATCTAAAAATAATTCAAATGGATAGAGGAATGAATTGAGAGAGTGAGAGAAGAAGAGAGAGTGACTGAGAGAGAATGAAAAAGAATAAAAAAAGAGATAAATTCAATTAACAGATTGAAGAGAGAAAAGAGAGCTAGAGTTTCCAAACAAACAACATACCCGGCTTTAGAGGCCATAACGAGATACCTAGGGCTGCCCTCCTTGATAACAGTGCCCACCATCCGCCCGTCAAATCTGACGGCCTGCACACACGAACACGACAGGTTGGAGAAGTAGATGAGACGAGAATTGTAGTCGATAGTCAGGTCGAAGATGTACGCAGATGAAGATGAGGAAGAAGAAGGAGAAGAAGAGGAAACTATCGTTACAGTGGGATGTGGAACCTTGCAAATAGAATACAAATTACAAAAGATTAATGTTGCATATGCATGGCAGATGAAATTGATCATTCACAGACCAAAAGTTAATCACAAAAGCTTGAAATGAATATCAAAATGTAAATGAAAGCAAACAACACAATGGAAAACACACGCACCTCATTGTTCACATTCAAATGTACGCCGAAGACACCGCGATTGTTGCTACTACCGCGGCTTCTGCCAACGTTTTTACTGCCTCGAACGCGACCGTTATTACCACTACTGTTATTACTACCGCTACTACCAAAGTAACTACTACCACTGATAGGGTAATAGGTGGATTTGATGGTTGAACCTTGAGAATCAACCCAGATAAGATGACCTTTAAATGGGTCATATGTCAGCGACCTGAAGTTATTTATGCCAAGGTCAGGAAGTGACGTAACGAAATCGTCATCGTCGTCACCATCGTTATTATTACTTTTATTATTTTTACCATTAGTATTGCCGCTCTTATTCATCGCATTAACGAGAATCTGCAAGAAGGAATTTTTCTGACTGGCTATTATGAAGCTTGTTGGTCCTAAATACAGGAAATAATAACAATAATAATATTAACAATAATAATTGTCAATTAAGTCATAATAAAAATAATTATTTCCATAATATTAATAACAACAACAAAAATAATAATAACAACAATAATGATAATGATAGAGACCCTGGCAAGTATGACCATCTTTAAGCAGCCTGTAATGTGTTGGACATGAGCATATATATTTATTATTATTATTATTGTTATTATTATTGTTATTGTTATTATTATTGATGTTAGTAATTTTGTAGTCGTCGTTGATGTTGTTGTAATTGCTGTTAGTGAGGCATATATGAGAACAACCGCCATTGCTCTCTTTGCACGGGTGCGAAATGTCTTGAATAAAAAAATAAATAAATTAATTAATTAATTAACCAATAATTAATTAATTAACTAGATAATTAAAATTAATTAACTAACAAACTACAATTAAATAATCGAGAAAAAAAGTTGTTAGCAAGCGGACACAAAAAAAATTTCATTTTTAATCACTTGGTCTTATGGAAAAATCAACCAGAGATAGACCAATGACATCATGGCCGTCATCTCTATTGTTGTTGTTATTATTGTTGTTGTTGTAGTAGTTCTTATTATTATTGTTATTATTATTATTATTTAGCCTCAATTGATACTTTTTCACCAAATTACCAAATAACCCATCACCAATGCTGTGATCGCTCAGATTAAACTGATACACCTCAGCAGACGAAGGATCATACAGAAGCAAAGAATCAGAAAGTATGGACACCAGAGTGAATTTAGAATCTTTCCTCTCGTACGTATCTATGGTGCTTCTGTCATAATGTTTCCAATATAGAGTGCCATTTCTAAGCCAATACAATAACTTTTTAGATGGCTGTACTGCTATTGAGGTCACGCCACCATCCTCTTCACTATCACCAACACCACGTTTATTATTATTCTTATTATTATCATCATTATTAGCCACCATTTTAGTTCTAAAGGAACCAATCAAACTAGACCTTTCAATACTCCAATGGTTCAGCTTGGCACCTCTATTCAGCCAGAATAGATAGCTATAGCAAGAACGAAAAAAATTATCAATCGATTAAAAATGCATAGAAATTAAAAAAAAATCCTGCTAACCCATTCAAGGGGTCCACAGCTAGAAGAGTAGGGGTCACATCTTTCCAGAGCACCACCTTCCTGTACCCACGACCCTTCAGTGTTATCATTTCTATGCAGTTCTTCCCAACGTCGGTCCAGTAGAGAGTTGAATGGATGCTGTCAATCACAATGGCACCTGGGTTAACGTTACTTATGAACGACTCCTGCTGTTGAGGTCCGCTGAATTCTTTCCTCCTGATTGACTGAGTGAATGAACGGGTTGGTAGATTGGCTGAATGACTGAGTGAATGGATTAGTGGAATAAAGAATGAATTAATTATAATAAAATCAAACCATCATCATTAATTTCACGATTATAGAAGACAATTTGATCTAACCATAGCCAAATTTCTCTCAACTTATAAACAAACAATTCTAAATAAAAAAAAAAACAAAAAAAAACAAGACAACAAACAATCGAACTAAAAAAAACCCGCAAGACTAACGTTGCTGGCCTCGTCGCCCCAGTACAAAACACCACCATCACCACCACCACCACCACTTCCTCTGACGTCAACATCGAAGCCAACAACGACACCATAGCCTGATTTCGTGGTCGCCATAGCCGCCACATTACCGGTCTCCATGGTTACTCTGCCGAAGTCACCCTTGGTAGAGAAGACGACGAAGGACTGAGTGGAGAAGCATGTTTGGTTGTCGCCCGGGGCCATTTCGAAACCATCGGGGCAGAAGCAAACTGGCCGCTGGTGTGTAGGGAGTGGAGATAGGAAGCAGAAGTGGCTACAGCCGCCGTTTTTCTTCATACAGACGTCGTCGCCAGCGTCTGGGTCTTGTGGTGGTTTGGAATAAAAAAAAAAAAACAAAAAATGATTAACACATGCAAATAAACAAGCGAGCAAAATAATTAGTCGGAGCTTTGAAAATAAGCACACCTGAAGTAGATTCCAAGTAGGTGGCTTTGAGAGACATGAGGTCAGATATATTCTCGATGATGGTCTGCGATTGGTTTGCTGGTTCGGATTTGTGGATTCTTTGAATTACTCTATCCGTCAGGTCGGACCAGTACAAATAGTCACCTGAAAGAAGAATAAAATAATGGATTATACATTTATATATAAAGAGAGAGAAAAAAGAGAGAGGAGAGAGAGAGTAAGAAAAAGAGAGAAGAAATATAAACCCTACCCAAAAGAGTCAACCCAAGGACGTGATTCAAACCCTCCACCAGCAGAACTCTCCTCTTAGTCTTTAAATCGATGTACTCGATCCTATGCAACTTGGCGTCACCCCAGTACAAACGATTCGCAACCCCATCGTGGGCGAGTCCATTTGGCCACGAAAGGTTAGAGGTCACGAGAATCTGCCTAGAGGAAGAGTCCATCTGAGAGGTTTCAATTTTCGGGTGGGTGCCCCAGTCGGACCAGTATAAGTTTCTGGTGGTAAGTTCGGGTTAGGAGTTTTTTTTAAACTGTGATGCTGATGTACATAATGCCTACTTACACACATACACACATACATACATTTTTCTTCGATGTAGATGATTGAAATCATATCATAAATGTTAAAATGAGTGTGTAGCTGACAAAGATGAAGCAATAAATATAATGAAGCCAATAAATAGAAGGGTAGAGAAATCAATAAATTTGTTCACAGTGACCATACCCCCTTTTAGAGTCGACAACAATGGCTCTGGGGTTATAAAGTTCAGTGGTAATGAGGTCCTTCCGATAGTAACTTCCGTCCATTTTGGCTACAATTATCTTTTTCTGGCCACTGTCCACCCAGAAAATATTTCTGCCCAGTTGATCTACAGCTATGCCTTCTGGATTCATGCCAGGAACTTGAATGACTGTTTCCACTTCTGTGTACATGTTTGCTTTTGTATTGTATTGTTTGTATGTTTTTTGGGATAGTTTGTGTGCATTTTTGTATTGTATTGTTTGCATCATTTGTAAGTTTGTATAGCAAGCCTTTTTGTATTGTATTGTTTGTAAGTTTCTTGCATAGTTTTTTTCACTTGTATGTTTGAATGGTATGCTTTATGTATTGTATTGTAAGCATATGTATTGTATTGTACGCATTATGTATTGTATTGTATGCATTATGTATTGTGTTGTTTGTATGCTTTCGTATTGTATCATTTGCGTTTTTGCATCGTTATGCATGCAGTGTACACACGAAAACAAATAGAAACAAGAAGTATAAACTTGATCCATTAAGAAGTGCTCTCCCAATAGATGATCTATTGAAATCTGACCAATATATCATTCCTTGGATTGGATCATAGTCGATAGATATCGCTTTTTTGATACTATCGATCGGGATAGGGACGTGTATGTAATCCGGGGTATCTAAGGATACCCATTGTAAATTTGTGTATCTCACAAACAGTAGGATACTGGAGGGACCTTATTGTAACGAAAATGATGATGGTTCATTCATTTGTTCATTCACCTATCATTCACTTACTCACTAATTCACTCTTTCATTCACACTCATTCCTTCCTTCATTCATTCATCCGTAAAAATGACAAAAACCCACCATCTTCACAGTTTCTTCCATCCTTCTTCAGCACAACACCAGCTGGACAGGCGCATGTGTATTGTTGTGATGTCACTGCTGACAGCAAGCAAATGTACGAGCAACCGCCATTATTTTTAGAACACGGGTTTTCCACTGAAAATGAAACAATATACACACATACACACACACACATACAAACATATATATATATATATATATATATATATATATATATATATATATATATATATATACTCATATAAGTTTATTTTACATGTGTAACAATCCATTCCAAGACATATAAATAGATATACCAACAATGACAACACACAGACATACATGTACAGATAGACAACTAACATAAAAAAGCAATTTCCTAATCAAAAATTGAGACCAACCATTCATATTTTTTCTCTCAGGTCGTACCACTTTGACATCTTGGGGTGGGAACAGGGTGTTTGCTAGGATTCTTGGGTCTGAACACTGAGGAAGTTTGCATCTAATTATTGTGCTGTTTGTCAGTTCAATCCAGTACATCATGCCATTGTGGATTGAGATGGATAAAGGATTCATGTTGTTGTTGACGTTGTTTGGAGATACCTACATCATTGTTGTTGCATGCACGCTAATAAACCACAAACACATTGAAATTTTATTAATCTTTTTAATCTTTCATTAATCAAAGCCACAACAACAACAGCAGACATTACAAACATACCAAACAACAACAACAACAAAACTAACCAACGACAAGTTGGAACCGTCGAGATTGCATTTATACACTCGCCTGCTAGCTTCAATCACAAAGTACAGCATGTCATTTTCATAATCTATCGTCAGACCACTTGGCCAAGATATCTTAAAAATAATAAAAAAATTATAATTAATAACGATTTATTTATTATGATAATTGTAACATTACTACTGAGGTACTAACACATTCGTTCAGCGACAGTACAATCTTTCTATCTCTACCATCCATACTGGCCGACTCAATGTAGGGTACATCTCCACAGGTTGACCAAAACATCAATCTAATTTCAACAATCAAATTAGTGACAACAGCAACAATTAGAACAACAACGGCAAAGATGTAACACAAACCTTTTCTCAGGGTATAGCACCAGACTGCCAGGCTGAATTAAATTATTGAAAACGACGACGGCCCTATCGAACTCAAACAAATCTCTTATTTCTATTCTGCCATCCTGATCCAGCCAATACATCTTCAGCCCCACCCAGTCAATTGACATATCCATCAGGACTGAGTCGTGCAGGGAGGCGAGTGATGTTTTTATCTAGTTTTTGTCAGAAATGCATGAAATCAAAGTTAGAAAACTGAACCAGGAAAGATGTATCAAATGAATGAATATGGGTAGTATTAAATATCAATTTAGTAAAAACAGATTCTATAAAATCATAGCAAAGTTGAAAATATATTTTTAGATTTTATAAATTAAAAATTGATTTAATGTAGAAGACATTGAATTAGATTAGCATGATTAAATGCATAATTATATAAATATATTTGTAATTATATTATCTAAATATATGTTTTTGATAATTATGCATAAAAACAAGTAAAATAAGCATATTAAACACCTCATGAGTTGCGTTGTAGCTTTCTAATTTTAGGACAGAATTCTCATCAGAATCCATCCAGAAAATGGTATTCTCATCACGGAGGTAGTCAACAGTGGATATTGTATACCCATCTCTGAACAGAACTTGAGATTTATCGTCTGCTCTTCTATCTTCACTAACGTCAACTAGGCAGATGCTTTTGAATGTTGAATAAACTAGAAGAGTCCCATCAACATACCCTGCTGTTTGCAAATGAATTAGTTTAGGAGAGTGTTATTCATCAGGGTTTAATTAAATTAGAGACTGACATGTTTATTGAATTATAAAGATGACTATATATTATTGAAAAAGATTAGAAAATGTTTGATCACAAAAGGGAAGCTAACCAGTGGGGAAGAAAACTAGAATTATCTGTGGAAGACATAGAAACAGGACAAATATACAGGACATGATTAGGTTCGGAGTTCACAATAAAATCGCTAAAAACTTAACATAATTTTGCACTGGCCTCACTCGCAAACGTAAAAACAAAATAATTAAATATTTAAATATTTAAAAAATTTAACGATTAATGAAAAAAACGCAAATTAAAATGATGTTTTCATTGGTTTAAATCTACGGGCATTTTGTTCTGACTACTGACCAAAAGTTATATACAAATTTACCATTAAAAAGTGAATTTAATAAGAAAAAATAATTTGGTTAACAAAATGACTGATTTTGCAGTAATAACCACTAAAATATTTAATGTTTATTAAACTATATGTGTAAATGTATTAATTAATAAGTTATATTCCAAAAAACAATTTTAAAACCATTAAAATATATTTAAATCATTTGTATGTTTACCATTATAACCTACCATTTATATGTATATATATTTAAGTGTGTGTGTTTGTATGTGTGCATGTATTTGTTGTGTGTGTATTGTATTATAGCAGAAAATATAGTTATTACAACGTAACTAGAATAATAATTCGATTGTACAGTTTAATTCTGGATTTGAGAATAAAATTAAGCCCTAAATAAATTGCAAATTAAATTTGTAATGACCATAAAATAGGATTATCTTAGAGAATAGCTACGTAAACATACACACACACTTACACAAACACACATTTACATACACATACATACATTCTTACATACACACATACATACAAACAAACAAACAAACAAACATACATACATACATACATACATACATACATACATACATACATACATACATACATACATACATACATACATACATACATACATACATACATACATACATACATACATACATACATACATACATACATACATACATACATACATTTAAGGATGAAAAAGCAGAGAATCTTGAAAGATTCTCGTGGAAGTATGTAGAAGACGTCTTTAATATTAAAGCATAATAATTATTATTTTTAATATAGTTATAATAATATTAATAACAACAATAATTATAACTATAATAATTGTTAATTATATTTTTATTATTATTATATCATTTATTATTCGTAATAATTATGTGAAGTTTTACGATCAAATTGCGTCAATAAAAAAAGGCAATAAATAAAATATTAATCGTTCGTTCACTCGTTTTAATGCCTGTCATAATATGAAATTAATAATAATAATAATAATAATAATAATAATAATAATAATAATAATAATAATAACTTCGAACTGTTATCATGAATAATACCATTGGATACATGGAGTATGATGAAATGATATGATATGCAAGCATCTGAGCAGATTTGGTTTGGGATAAATTTAAAATAATAGTTCATTCGTTCGTTCGTCATTCATTCGTTCGTTCATTCATTTGTTCGTTCATTTGTTCGTTCGTTCGTTCATTCATTCATTCATTCATGTGTGCACACATGCACGAATGCATGCGCTCATATTTGATAGACATTTTACTCACTAATACTTTAATCTAGTTATTTATTTTTGCTTCGGAAACAGAGCTGACATTAGTAAAATCGTGTTTTATGTGTTGTTGCTGCTGCTGTTGTTGTTGTTGTTACTGTTGTTGTTGTTGTTGTTATTCAGATGTGGAACATTTGCCCAGTCCTAATTTATTGTGTTGTGTATGAATGCGTGTGATCACCGTGGGATAAACAATGCATGGTAATCTACGTTGTGTCAACTCATCTTATTGTTGTTCACGTTGTTGTTGTTTTGTTGTTGTTGTTGTCTTGTTGTTGTAGCTGCGAATGTTGTTGTTGCGAATATTGTTGTTGTTTATGTTGTTTATGTTGTATTTTATTGTTCGTATTGCCAATGTTAACGTTACCATCCTTTTTGTCGGCTTGATTGATTTTACAATTGTAAATTTTGTCGTTACATAAACATACATACATACAAACACAAACAAAAACATACACATACACACACATACAAACACATGCACCTACACTCATACAAGCACGCACAAACAAACATACACATAAACCTTTAGAAACGTGGTATGCTTCTTTGCCATATTTCATGCCCTGCTATGCTGTTAAATACGTGGGTGCAAATGAACGAAAGAACGAACGAACAAGCGAATGACTGAGTGAACGAATGAATGAATGAACGGACGAAAAAATGAGAAAACGAACGAATGAACAAACGAATGAATGAATCTGTTACAAAGATGAGAGTTAATATTTTAATTGCAATCCGTTTACATTTTCTTTTGTTTCTTCATCTCTCTCCTTCTTCCTATTCTTTTTCTTCTTCCTCTTCCTCTTCCTCTTCCTCTTCTTCTTCTTCTTCTTCTTCTTCTTATTTTTATTATTATTATTATAATTGTTAAAAAGTGTAAACAATAACGTTGCATGAATAGTTAAAAATTAATCAGCGCATCTGTCGCGATTGGGTCGAAAATTAAATTTCTCCATTTTTATAATTTTTTTTTCGCCCAGAAACAAATTTCAACCTACGACAACGACAACAACGACAACAACAACAACAGCAGCAGCAGCAACAACAACAACAATAGTAACGACAACTACATCTACATCATCATCGTCGTCGTCATCTTCGTCATCATCATTTTTTTTTCATCTTCCTCCTCCTTCTCATCTTCCTCCTCCTTCTCATCATCATCATCATCAGCAGCAGCAGTACCAGCAGTAGCAGCAACAACAACGGCCACAGAAGCAATTTAATTTTCGGCATTTACTACGTGAAGTTAACAATGTAATCATCAGGCGCATTGTTACTTGGAGCAATAAACAGCACAGCAAACACATTCTTCCATATAATTCGCCGACAACAACAACAACGACGACAACAACAAAAAATGACGTCATCGTCGTTAACAACAAGAGCAAAAACAACTAAGTCAGAAACATCGTCATCAACAGAAGAATAAAATTTACAATAACAACAACTATATCTAACACAGTAAACTCTAAAAACAACGACAACAACAACAACGATAACATCCACACTAACAACAATAGCATCAACACCACCACCAACAACAACAATAATAATACAGAATAAAACTACGGTAATAAATAATAATACAAATAAAAACAACAGCAACAACACACAAAGATACTAAAAAAGACAAAGATAACAACAACCAGAGATAACAGAAATCAAAGATAACATGCTTGTTGACGTCACAGCATCGACGATTCACTTCCGCCTGTCTATGCTCATACGTTGCTGTTGTTATTATTGTTGTTATTATTGCTGCTATTGTTTTTGTTGCTGTTGTTGTTGTTTAATTGGAGTTAGCTGCGTTGTTGTTGTGGTAGCGGCTTACAGCAATGTAGCTGCAGCTGATGCGGCTACTGCTGTTGCTACTGAAAAGTCAATCGTTGTTGGTGAGTTTTTTTTTGTATTTTTTCAACTTTATTTTGATTTGTTTATTTCAAGTTAATTATTTTCAATTTTTTCATCATCGTTTCTACTACTACTATTTCAAATACTAGTATTAGTAGTAATAGCAGTAGCTGCAATAGCAATTGTAGTAAGAGTAGTAGTAGTAGTAGTAGTAGCCACAGTAGTAGTAAATGCTGTCTCCAACAATATGATATGGACAATGGTCGTAGTTTTTTTCTCATTTAATAGATTGATTAGTATATAACGTGTTTGAATGGATGCACGTACGTACGTGTGTGTGTGTGTACGTGTGTGTGTGTGTGTGTGTGTGTGTTTGTGTGTGTTTTCCCAAATACATACATACAAAAAAGGTGACAAAACACAATGCAGCTCAGCAACTGCAAGAAATCTTCAGTGTTAGGATGCATGAAACATTTATACCGCTAACACATTTCTGTATGCTTGTTCGTATGTGTGCGTGTATCTTTGTGTGTATTTGTGCGTGTGTGTATGTTTGTTAGTATGTATGTTTGTATGTATGTGTGCGTGTGTGTATGTTTGTTTGTATGCATGTGTGCGTGTGTGTATGTATATGCAAGTATGGACAGATGTTTGTAGCCCGAGTGTGAGAGTGATTGTCCTTATTTTGTATTTTCTTTCAAACACGAATTTGAATGAGCCGTCAGTTTAAAATGCGGTAAAACATGATTAAAAAAAAGTGAACTTAAATATTTACTTATAACTCATATTTACGTTACATCCTTCTAAGTTTTGAAAAAATTGTTGATGACATTAACGATCGAAAGACAAAAAGTTAAGATGACGTCACGTCGAAAAACTTTTACAAATGCGGTGACGTAACATGGCATCATTACCATTATTATCAACATCATCAACAAAAATTACGTCATCATTAACAACAATAACAACGACAACGACAGCAGCAGCAGCAGCAACAACAACAACAACAACAATATCAACAACAACAACAACAACAACAATATCAACAACAACATCAACATCAACAACATCAACAGTTGAAGAATCATTAAAAGATAACGCCTGTGCCAAAAACCTTTCTCTTGCCTTCGCTACACACACACAAACACACACACAAACACATACACACACACACATACACTCAAACACAAAAAAGAGAAAATGAAATTTTAAAGTCTGTCTGTCGGTAAGTACAAACATGTTAATAATTACAAACTCACACACACACACACAAATACACTTGCACACAAACATAAACACACACACATACACACACACATACATATTTTCCAATCTTTGTAGTATTTTCATATGCCTGTCTTCCAATAAACATGTTTTGCCGACGAAATGCATGTGAGAGCTTTTTATAGAGAGTTTAACGTCTGCGAGTACAAAACAGCATGTCATAAACCATTTTTTAGAGAAATTTCACTCTGTATTTCTTTATATTTTTGTATGTTTTTGTATTTTACTGTGTTTTCTTCTTGTATGATTTTGTATATTTTTACGAAATTAATCTATTTCCACACCTCCAATGAAACACATATACAAGAACAGATACATGCACACACACACGCACACATACACGCACACGTACACGCACACATACACGCACACATACACGCACACATACACGCACACATACACACGCACACACACACACACTTATTTAACACTATCTCTCTGCCTAATGCAATGCAAACACCTTATACAACTTCTAAAAAAACAAACAAAACCTACAAAAACGTTAACACAAACAAAAACAAAGTAGCAACAACAGTGGCGACAGTGGCGACAGCAGCCGAAGCCACAGAAGCAACCAGACAGGATTTTAATAAACTAAACTGGGCTTAACCCCACATGGTTTTTAAATGCCAAACAAATAAACATTAAACTGTATATATGAGTGTACGTTTCGTTTTGTATCATTTTGTGTGCATGTACGTGTGTATGTATGTGCATGTATGTATATTATTATGCGTGTGTTTATATGTTAATACAGACCACTATCTGATTGAAAATGTATACATGTGTTCTGTATATATAATTACATAAGTTACATACATACATGCATACAAACATGTATACATAAAAACAAGCAAACAACTATATACATATACATACAAACGAACATACATAAAAACGGTAAACTGTTAAAAGCAAGTTTGGCTATCGCAAAAAAGACCAATTAAGCATTTTTTGTTGAAAATAAAATAGATATATGTATGTATGTTTGTATGTTTGTTTGTATGTTTGTATGTATGTTCATCTACATGTATGTATGTATAGATGTATGTATGAAGATACATATTTATTTATTTATAAGTCTTTTTGTATTTTTGTATGTGTGGGAGCAATAAAAATTAATTTTTTTCTTTGTTCTTGTATTTTTTAATGTTGCTGTTGTTGACGTTGACGTTGTTGTTGATGTTGTTGTTGATGTTGTTGTTGTTGATGTTGATATTGTTGTTGATGTTGTTGTTGTTGATGTTAATATTGTTGTTGATGTTAATATTGTTGTTGATGTTGTTGTTGTTGATGTTGTTGTTGATGTTGTTGTTGTTGATGTTGTTGTTGATGTTGTTGTTGTTATTGATGTTGTTGTTGATGTTGTTGTTGTTGATTGTTGACATTTAAATCATTATTTCTGAACTTCAGTCAGGAAAAACCAAGACTAAGAAATATTACTCCTTTGGTGGGCGTTCTATTATGTCCATGGTTCTTTTCTCATGTTAATTGGTTGTTGATACTTTTGTCTGTCTGTCTGTGTGTTTGTATGTTTGTATATCTGCACGTTTGTTTGTTTGTTTATTTGTTTGTATGTATGTAATTGTATGTATGTTTTTTTCTCGTGACCATAAAACATGATGTAATTAAAATCTTTCGAAAAAAAAAATGATCTACAATGAGGCCATAAAATATTCATGACCTGAATGTGATTCAGGTGATTGGCCAACGGCTAGTGACGTCAAAAACCTGACCTAATTAATTATTCATGAGATGGGCTGATTATGATAATAGTTTTTCTTCTTTCCTTAGCTTATTGTTGTTTGTTCTTTCATTCTTCCACTCCCCGCTTGATGCATCCTGGCCTTACACGCACCGTAATTAAGGTTAACACCTTCATCATCGTCTTCATCATCATCATCATCGTTGTCGTTGTCGCCATCAGCAAAGAAACAACAGCGTTAATGATGATAACAAACACGTGACATGATGACTAATGCGTGATAGTGATGGTATTTTTTGGCTGGTCAGTGTTGATGATGATGACGATGATGATGATGACGATGATGACGATGATGTCCGAACTGATGAGCAAGATGATGATGATGATGATGATGACGATAACGATACTCATTTTCACCAGCCATCATTAAAAATGTAAAAGTTAATTGAGGTTAAAAATCAAATTACCCATTTTGTATTTTGCAGATCTATAAGTTCTAAATTTCCTGAAGTGCTTCCACTATATATCCATCAATCATTCATTCATTCATTCTTTCGCTCCTTCATGAATTCATTGATCCATCCATCCATTCATTCATTCGTTTTTCATTCTTTTATTTGAAAACTCCTTCAGCCAATCCATCCTCCTCTCATTCCTCCTCTAGGTGGCGTTTTCAGTATTGATGATGATCCAAAATTGTTGTTGGTCTGGAGACGTGAAATAGATCTCTACAATGACTACTGCAACAATTTCAACAACAACAACAACATCAACAACAACAACAACTTCAACAACAACAACAACTTCAACAACATCAACAACAACAACAACTTCAACAACAACAACAGCCGGTTCTACAATAGCATCCTCATTCGCGATAACAGCAACAACAAAAATGACGTCACAAAAACAACAACAACAACAACAACAACGTCATCATCAAAAACAACAACAACAAACTACGTTTATGCAACAATGAACGATGCAATCTACAACAAACTTTGTAGCAACAACAACAAGAACAACAACAACAGCAACAAACATACGAACAGATATTACGTCACCGACACCAAAAACTACAAATACAACAATCATTATGACGTCACAAACGATAATAATAGTAATAATTATGTGTTAATAGTTAAGCTTAGCGTTATTAACGTTGTGATTGATTACTTAGATTACTTTAATTCCTCTAGAAAGAGTAAGTTATTTTTGAATTTGTACACACATACATACACATATACAAACATAACATACAAACAAACATACAAACAAACACACAAACAAACATACAAACAAACATACAAACTCACACTAAATTATTGCAACTCGTTACTTTATGAAATATTCATTTGCTAAAATGCTGTGTTAAGGGTATTATGCCATCTCTTGGCTTGTACAACATATATACACGTACACACACATACATAAGCACGTACACAAGCACGTACACACACACATACATACATACATACAAACGTGCATACATACATACATGAAAACACACGTCACCATCATCATAATTTTTTTTATTTTTGTCAAATAAAAATTTCCTTTAAGAGTTTATTTTTTCATACAAAACATTTTTTGTTTGTTTAGTGCGTTTGTATGTTTGTTTGGAACAAACAAACATACAAAACAAAAACGGAACAACAAAAATAATGAGTTAAGTCTTGGCAAAGATTTTCGAGTTTTTTCATACAAACCTACGTACATACACACATACAAATGTACATATACATATAAATATACATACATACATACATACATTTATACATACATACATACATACATACATACATACATACATACATACATACATACATACATACATAAATATACATACATACAAAAAATGCGGCAAGACAAACATACAAAACATTGAAACAAACGAGCTCATCTTTGTATTATATCAATTTCCTAACATGCACATGCACCCACACACCACGTCATACGACAAATAAAGTTTTAATGCTGTTTTGTTTGTATATAAAACTATTTATTGGTTTGTATCTTTGTGTCTTTGTATGTATGTAATTATGTATGTATGTGTGAGTATATATCATGTGTGTATAAATGAATGTATCGCATAGTTGTTAGACTATATTGTATTTGTGTATATTGTATTGTATGTTTCAGGCAAACATACATTCGCAAACGTACATACAACACATACACACACATACATACATACACATACAAACAATACCTAATATATATGTATATATATAGATATAATTATATATTATATATAATCATGCATAATTAAGCAATAGTGTAATGACATCCAGATCTCCAGTTATTGTAGTAATAAACGAAGCATTAACAACCATTCGAACGGGCATGCAACTCAATTAGTACCACTTTTATTTGAGGGAGGGACAGCACTATACCTGAGGCATTTTGGGTTATACCATTTCTTTTAAATACATTAGAACTGTAAGCTTTTTTTATGTGTTTACTGACAAGTTAGTATAAGCAGCTTTTTCAGAATAATCCCATACTTGTGATTGTGAATGTTGATTGAAAATAATTATAAAATTATTATTAATTAAAATTAATATTATAATTATAATGATAATAATAATTATCGTTATGATTTTTCCAGTAACGAATTTGTTGGAAAAGTACAAGCCGTCTGCCGTATTCACGCCGCATCTCACTCCGCTACTCAAGCACATCGCTAACAACAAACGAACTCCCATAGTGGCTATTACCACCGATAATACTGATAGTAATTATGATATTTGTAGTAGTAGTAGTAGTAGTAGTAGTAGTAGCAGCAGCAGCAGTAGCAGTCGATGTGTGGATGATTTCTGCGATGAAATATACTGTAATGGTCATAACAATGATGATGATTATGATGGCAGTAGTCGTAATGATACCAGTAAAAGCGTTAGTAGTAGTAGTAGTGGTAGTAGTGGTGGGGGTAGTGGTGGTAGTAGTAGTCATAGTAAAAATGCAATAAAGAAAGGAGTCAATCTTAAACTTTATACTAAAAATCGTAGCCAAAAATTAAACCCCTCAACTCCACTGAATCTTCATCGTCATCATCATCTTCTTTCTGTTCAATCTCGCTATCATCATCAGCACCATCATCATCGTCATCAAGGCAAACAACAACAACGACAACAACAACAACGACAACATTATCAACCTCACCAGCATAAACAACGACAACAACAACGACAGAACCTTTCAAAACACTATGCAAAAATACCGCGAAAACAGTATCCTCTGCAGCAAAGATATCACAGCTACAAACAACTAAAACATAGAAAAAAAAATAAGCCGGAAGTGGGTGAAAACTGGAGAAAAAGAAAAATGATGAAGAAGGGTGAAGGAATGAAGAAGCGGAGGAGGAATAAAGCGAATGACGTCATCGTGCAGCCATGTTTTGTGGCGGCCATGTTTGATGTTCTGGTCAGACATTACAGCTGGTGCGAGGCTTACTACATCTACATGACTAAAAGTGGTAAGTGCCTTTGTATGTTTGTATGTATGTTTGTATGTATGTTTGTATGTATGTATGTTTGTATGTATGTATGTTTGTTTGTATGTATGTATGTTTGTATGTATGTATGTATGCATGTATGTATGACGGTATGCGAACGAATGTATGTATGTGTGAATATATAATATATGTATGTAATGTATGTATGTTTGTATTTAAGTGCGAAATACTTTTTCATTTTCGTGATTTTAGAGAAAAAAATTTGATGAAAATGTCGACTTCGTTAAGAGGAGTGATGATGATAATGATGATAGAAGTTTTGATGATGATGATAGAAGTTTTGATGATGATGATAGAAGTTTTGATGATGATGACGACGACGACTCTAGTAATTATAATGTTGATGGTGTGGATGCTAACAATAATGATGATGCAAACGCGTTTTAAAATATTAAGTGCCCTATTTCTCTCTCTATTTCTCTTTCTTTCTCTCTTTCTTTTTCTCTTTCTCTCTCTCTAGGTCACTGTTATTAACACAAATATTTATTTATCTCTTATTTCGTCGTTCATATTTTATTCATTCATTTTGATTGTTCCCTTGTGTAATGCAGTGTTTCTATTTGGCCGATATTAATTATTGCTTTTATTTGTCTTCCTTCATCCACTGATGTGTTTGTTTGTTCATTCATTCATTTTCATCAATCATTCATTTTATCATTTATTCCTTCATTCTTTCAATCAATCAATCATTCATTTTATTGTTCATTCATTCACTCACATTCACTCACATTCATTCAATCATGAAGAAAACTAAAATTGACTGAATTGATGAATGAATGAATGAATGGATGGATGGATGAACGAACAAACGAACAAACGAACGAACGAGCAAACAAATAAATGAACGAATGAAAAAAAGTTAAAATTTAATTAAGTAAATAAATAAACTTCTACCAAAAAGGCACCTGTGGATATTAAATAAAAATTACAAAATAAAATAATTTCCTTGAAATAACAAAATGAATGAATGAATAAAAGAATGAATGAATAAACGAACAAATGAATAAATAAATGAATGAATGAGGGAAGGAAATAAGAATCAATTAAAGAACGAATGTGATATAAGAATGGCAAAGCCTGATAAGGTGATTTCTCTTATAAATTAAGTCATCAAACAAACTGAAAAAATAGAGACTGGTTTTTCGCTCAATTTTTACTTACATTTTTTTAGCTTAAAAATGTTTGAATAAACGAATGAATAAGAGAGTGAATGAATGAATGAGTGAATGAGTGAATGAATGAGTGAACTAATGAACAACCGAAAGAATGAAATAATTGACTATGAAAGAGCAAACATACGGTGGACGATGAACAAACGAACGAACGAAAAAAATGAACAAACGAACAAACGAACTAAAAAATGTATAAAAACGAAAGAATGAATGAAAATAAAACTTCAAAAGAACGAGTGAACGAACGAATGGGTGGATAAAATAAAATGACATCACGTTTGATTGATAGCGATTCAAACTTGGAAAGAAGTTGCTAGCCTGAGTTACTTCAACATTTCAAGAATATTAAGAAAAAAATTACCCAAAAATTTCTAAAAAAATTACTCGAACCTTACTCAAAAAACTCCTACCATTAATTCTGGCAGTAATACTACACCCAGTACAGGTGTGGTAGTAAACGCGAAGGAAGTTTTGAAAGCTTTCAAGTTACTGAAACTCGCTTGAAAAACAATCGCGAAAATTTACTAAAGAAATGCAATAAAAGTTACTAAAACACTAACAAAAATTGCTTTTTAACAGTGTCTTTTTAGTAGTTTACCAACAAGAGAAAGAGAGAGAGAGAGAGAGAGAGAGAGAGAGAGAGAGAGAGAGAGAGAGAGAAAGAAAATGAAAAGTAGAGAGAGAAAGAAGGAAAGAAAGAAGACGCACTTATTCAATTTATTGAGAATATTCTCCCTGGAGTCAGTTCAACAAAATGTGGACTTAACATATATCTACATTATGTATGTATGTGTGTATGTGTGTATGTATGTGTGTGTGTATGTATGTATGTATGTATGTATGTGCGCGTATGTGTATGCGTGTGTGCGTGTGTCCAGGTGGAGAAGATAGTTGGAAAGCCATTTTCGGACAGTTTTTAAAACGCCAACGACAGCATTCATCGCTTTCGTCATGATGACGTCATCATGACGTCATCATGACGTCATCGTCGTCGTCGTCATCATTATCATTACTATCATTGCTATCGTCATCATCACCGACAGTCTGCAAATC